TAGCAAGTAGTGACTGGTTGAAACTCCACCAATAATAGCGGTGATGGGAGATAAATGGCAAAACTTGAATCTTATTTCCTATTCTTGACACTGTCATTTTGTGAGGATAGTGCTTTTAGAAATGTAAATGATAAAAAAAAATCAGGAAATAGAAAAGAACTGCAAATACAGAGTTCAATTTATCTACTAGCTAGATGATTTTATCTTACTATTCAAGCGCTGACAGAGGTTTTAAGATAATTACTTTTGTCTAGAGTGTCTGCAAAATATATTTTATCTACCTTCTCATTTTAATGGGAATTAACTGTACGCAGAGACACACTCATCAAATCCATATGAAAAGCATATTCCATAGACCTTGTCAAACAAAATGTGAGTTGCAGCTGGAATAGAGCAAAAGCTCCCTTCTCTCTCACACTGAGAAAGCACCATATGTGGAAGTTTTCCTTGTTTAAAAAAGTGTGTGTGTGTGTTTTGGGGGTGCAATAATAAGTGGCCCCAACAAACAATCTTCAAAAGGGAAATATTTCACTGCAGTGTCAAGCATTTCTCTAAAGTTTTTTAAGAGAACAAAATTATTTATTTATGAAATATCAGTAACAATAGGTAGATAAATTTTAGATAACTTCCCCAGACTTGTTTTTGCCACCTCAAGGGATCCTATAGTTCTAGAACCTGCAGCCTTTTAGGTCACTGGAGGAGTAAATATGCTGTTTTTCTGATCCAATTTGTCTAACCAATTTGTCTCAATTTATACAGAATAGGAAACAGGTTTATGTCTGTAACTGGCTTTGGTAAAAAATTCACCTAAAATATAAAGAACTCAAAAGCTGATGCTAATGCTAAAGTATTACTCATCAGAATGACATCACCATCTGGGGAGACAAGCAGGGTGGTGCCCACAGCCAGGCAAGCTAAGCGTAGTGGGGAGGCTGCGTGTACCCAAGGCCACAGTGGCTGAGCTGGTGACAGGCACCCTGCTTAGCACACCACGTGAGCCTGCACACAAAGGAACAAGAGTTGCAGTGACCAGTCACACAAACTGTAACTTGAGAGGATTCTTCTGACAGACAGGCCACCACCCAAGTAGGCCACACCAAAAATACATGATGGAGCATTTTGATAGAACTATGAAAATTAGTAAACACTCTTTGGTCTAGAGAGTTTTCAACATGACTAAAATAAGACTTCTGGGTTTCCACATGCAGCTGCCCCCTCAGCCTTGGGATAGCGTGGTAGAGTCTGGACACGTGTCGTATATGCCCACCAATACCACACAATCGACCCGAGGAAGGTAGAGTCCATCCTTCCATGCATTTAATGTATGTTGGATGGATAAAACATGTTATGATGAACTACTGATCAGAAGGCCAGACTCCAAAAAATACAATAGCTTCATGGAAGTCTGTTAATCTGAAAGTCTACCCTCAGCACAGAAGTAGTAAAAATTGAAAATTTGAATTAGCTCCTAAAAAAATAACCAGTGTGTTTAACAAAGGGACTATCATTAATTTGGATAAAAGTAGGTGAAACATATATATGTATTTATCTATACATACACCTATATACGTGTGTGTGTGTATATATATATATATATATATATAGTGTATAGAAATACCTTGTATATGGGTTGTAACTTTGTAGAATTTCACATTTATCAGAGCAATGATACAGCTTTCTGTTACAACTGAAGGCCTCATCATAGTTCCATTTCCAAATAAAAATCTTAGCACTTATTCACTAGGCAGTAAAGGGATACTGACTTCAGGTGAGCCTAAAGGGGACCTCTAAGAGTCAGTTCAGAACCTAGTGGTGCTTAGTCTTCCGTTTATCCAGAAAGTAGAAACTGCTCAATGGGGGTAGCAGCAATGAACTGATTTATGAGCCTATAGATGTGATGCTAACTTTTAAAATGCCATTTAGGGATTACAAAATTTCACACATTTTGTACATACATTCATATACCCCCAAACTGAAATGTTGATCCACTCCAAAGCATGATATTTAGATGAGATAATTTCTAGGGTCTCCCTGGTGGCGCAGGCGGTTGAGCGCAGCACTGTGAAGCTGTCCGCAGCCTCTGCAGCGCCGGTTCGATCCCAGCCAGCCAGGGAGATAACCATATGGCACGGCAGACCTCTCATGCCTCGCCCGCTGCTCCCCTCAGCAGTGTATTTCAGTCTGCCTGTTCTGTTCCCCGCTCTGTCTCTGGTGAATCATCTCACCCTCCTGGGCATCTGGCCTGTACCCCGGTTCTTGTATAAATAAAATCTTTAGAAAAAAAAAATAATTTCTAGTCTAACCTTTCAATTGCATTAGAAAGCTCTTGGCTGCATCTGCTCAAAACAAGGTTTGCTTTCAAAAGGAATTGGAGGAGTGGGAGGAGTGAGGGAAGAACTTCCCACTTGAAACACTAGTTGAATTGCATCAAGAATAAAAGACGGGTGTCTAAAGGTAATAACTGAACACAAGCGCACAATTTTAGGGTGTCTTGCTCTTTTAAATTCAAATGTAGCTAGCCCATTGATAAAAAATGACCCGTGGTTATTTAGGCTGTTGGCAGCGGCAGGGAGGGAGAAGATGCAGAGGATGAGGGTGAGTGGGTAAAAGAACTGCAGTGCTGTTTCATAAGGAAGGCGGCTGCCAACAGGGCCTTGCATGGTTAGCCTTGGACTGGCTCCTCTGACAAATTTTATCAGGATCTTTTGAGGTTGAGAATAGAGAATATTCTCCCCTCATACATGATTTACATTAGAAACATCAGTGTTTATTCACTTGAGCTCTGTGATAATCCTCTCTAGAAACTTCTCTCTCACTCAGCGAAATTTACACTGCAGTGGGAGCTTCAGAAGCGAGAATCAGGCAGTTAGGCTCTATTTCTGCTGAGGTTTGGAAAATAGAAACCAAGAAGAATTGGCTGTGGCACGAGTGATGAATCCTGGGGCTGTACCACCACCTCCCCTGACTGCACAAAATAGTTCAGCTTTGGCACATTTGACATGTGCATGTGGACACCTGGCTTGGGGTTTCTGGCCTTAGGGCTAATTAAATTCACTGGCATCAGCTTTCAGTGGTGGCTTAGAAGAGAGCAAGAAAATCAGGTCTCTCTCTTATACTTTTCTACTCTCATTTTGTTTTCCACTTTTTTTTTTTTAAACACCCTCGTTTATTTTTTCACAGTATAGATTTCTCCCCTCTGCTTTCCACTTCACAAGAACACATATCAAGATTCTTCTGTAGGGGGGAAATCTGCAACACAGCTAGACCTGAAGTGAGTGTGTATGTGTGGGACAGGGGCTGGGAGAGGGGACAGAAATGTTTTCCCGACTTCCATTCTTCAGATTAGATCTAAAAAAGTGAGTTTAACAGTATTGCCACTGAACCTGGCTGAGTCTACTCCAGGTTATAAAAATATCACAAAGTCATACAGAAAGGATTCTGTTGCAAAAAAATAATCTGCTTTGATTTCTCACTCCTCTCCAACTTCTGATTTCTTTCTTTCCAGTTTCTGTGATTTTGAAGCTGCGTTCCCCATTAAAGTCTAAGAAAACATGAGTAGAGCCTCGTCTTTACTAAGCGAAGGCTTACCTTGTGGGGTACTGAAGTAGAAATGTATTACCAATTTGTTCATTTTAAGCTAAGTAGCTGAGAAATAACATGGATATGCTTAAAACATCCCAAGTGCACTCCTATCATTTTCATCATCCAACTCACTGATATGGGACCGAGTTTCCTGACTTTGTAAGCATTTATCGACAGATTTATGGATGGTTCCCTGTCAATACCCCTGCACCCAGAACTTTCACTGGAAGTGTCTCTACTTATGAGGCACTTTTTTAACTAAGCATCTACCTTGAACATGACTGTCCAAAAAAGGGGGAAACCCACTCATCAGAGTGGTCATTACACATCCCCCCGTGCTGCGCCCACTTCCTTCTTAACACCTGGATTGGAAAGAACGCTCGCTGGAGCCAGGAGTCCTCAGCCTCAGAACAGCTGGTGGCGTTTGTTTGCTTATTATTCACATATGATCCTCAAAGAATCCAGGAGAAAGAATCTGGGTGTTCAATTGGTTTCCTTCCCCCTCTCAGATTGCTTTTGGCATCCTAAAGTATTTCTAGAACTCTCAGCAATAAAGAGTGTTTTCTGAGGGAAGCATATTTAAAGGCTTATAGAATGCAGGTGTGATTTAGAATTATGAACACCTGGAATTGCAAAAGATTAGAGAAGTTTTTTCCCTCAACATGGGGGCCACTGAGAGATGGTTTAAATAACTACTTAGGTAAAAGCATGGAAGCTGAGGTGTGAATAGAAGACAACAGTTAGCTAAGTAGAGGGACTCTAACAAGCTTGGAGTTAACCAAGTGTTGGTGGTGGTCTATGATACTGAGGGCTGGCAGTTGAGGAAGTGTTGGGGGTGGCTAAGTGTAGGCCTTGGAACTCCACTGCCACTCACCTTGTGAAAATGCTTGTTGCATAACACAGCAGACACCTTTCATCTGTCGGTGCCTTCAAATATTTAGAAACCTGGGTAGATTCAGTGAGAAGGGCAGTCTTGGGTTCGGGTATTCCTTGAACATCTGATCTAAGATTATTGTTTTAATCCAGTTCCAGTCAGGTAAATATTAATCTCTTAGGAAATCTGCAAGGGCCTTAAATACAATATCTTAATTCCTTTCCTCAGTGGTCTCCTCAATTATTAATAACATTGAAAAAAACTCATTTCCGGAAGAGCAAACTGACCAGGCCCATGATAGTATCCCTGATAATATTTCCACTTGATTTTCAATTAACAGTAAAGCAAATAAGTTGTCCTGAGATCTCCCCTCACTCACACACAAGCAATTCCTTGGTGGTCATCTCTATGAGTAAGGAATATATTTTCAACTCATGGTACACAAGTCAATTGCGGTGAAATTATAGTCTGAGGTCCTGGCAGTAACTTAATCTGAAAAGAAACCTGAAACAAAAAGAGCCTAAAAGACAAATAACAAATCACATGCAAATACCAGATGTTTAGAGATGGATAGATAGTCCTTACAAATTTAGATCACACATTTGCCACATATTAATATAGGAAATCTCCCAAGAATTGAACGCATGTATGAACCACTGACATCATAGATTTCCTTCGATTTTCAGGCAGGATTCGCGAAGGCTAACTGACCATTTATAAATGCTGTTTCCTGGCGTCCGAGCCTCCCGGAGCTGCCTGTGTCTGCCGGGACATTAGCAGCCGCAGTTGGGCTGCGGTGGAGGAGGGGTTTCCTTGAGTCTCGTGTTCTGCTTCGCCGCGGTGATGGCCGGATCCGTCTCCAAACTCTCTGACATTTTGTCGCAGATGATATCCACAAGACGTTCAAATGTCTGCTTGACGTTAATGTTGTCCTTGGCACTTGTTTCAAAAAATTCAAACCCTAGAAGAAACAGAGATCCAGCTTGGTCGTGTCACACTTTGGCTGAAATTAATTTGGGACTTGATTATGAGTTTGGATGCGATGGGGTGATGGTGGCACAGCAGCGGATGGGCTGGGTTTGTTTAGGTGAGAGATGAGAAAGGGACAGAAGGGGCCCATTGAACAAACCCTGCCCCAGGTTGCCTCCGCTGTCTGAGAGTAGAATGTTCCTAGTTGGTCCTGGGAAGTAGGTAGTAGGCTATATTTTGCATCTGGGAATGTTACCATTAATTTATAGAAAAAACTTTTGAGTGTGCCCAGACTCAAGAATAATCCATCAAAATCATACCAGGTAGGAATGTTCATACTTTTGGAGAGAGGGAGAAACCTGTATCTTGCTATACCATTAACCATGAACAAAAGACTTATACAGAGGAAATGTGATACTTTTAATTTTTCTCTATTAATTCGCTTATCCCACCAGCAGGGCTGAATAGAAAAATTTCCATTGCAAAAGTTAGTAACAGTAACATTAAAACCCTCAACAAGGAGTCTGTCTACCCCTTTCTTCTCTCATTCCCACCACCAACCCCTTGGGCAATCATTCCTAGGACTACCCTGATTTGGTATTTCACCCACTTCAGACTCTAACAATTTTTTTTTTATTTAATTTGAGACTTAGAAGACTTCATGTCTCCTGCAAAAGGGACTACCAAACTTGAGCAGAATCCACCTCCATGACTGTCCAGCTATAGCTCAAGGTATGGTCTGAAGTTGCGCTTTTGGTCAATTTCTGACATCTAACTAGACACAAGGTGGCACTAAAGAATCATTAGCTCTACCTTAAGTACGCTCTGGCCTCCTTAGGAAATGGGAGCTGTGTTAAGCCTAATAGCCCTCCGGGATTGTGCACACCTCCGCATCTACTGGTGCTGATTTCTCCACACCTAGCAGCAGCAGTATTTTCTCCAGCATCTGGGAAAGGACGTGATAAATTTCAAATGTGCTGCCAGAATTGCAAGTGTTTTCTAAATGCGGTGACAGCTGCCCACTTCTGATGTGTGATTGTACCTGGGCAGACGCCTTAGTCTGCTGCTTTGCACGCACAACCTTATCGCTCTATTGTTTGCACATTCCAGTGGCTGAGCTTGCTGCCAGTTGCCATGACAACCTCCCCAGTAGGCCAGGCTAGGATTGCTCTGGTCCATTCAGAGAATGTTGATTTAGGATGTATTGGGCTGAACACAAAAATGCTTTTCTAAGCCATTCTGAATTTTACACCCTATAAATCGTTGTGGTTACATCTGCCCCTATCTCAGAGGAGCCACATAGATCCAGAATGATTAAATCATGTGATTTCATCCCAGCTCCTGGGACCAAAGGAGGAAGAATGATTTAATATTTTACATCCATGTCAAATTTCCTAATAGCACAGAAATTCTTTTCCTAAGTAAAATATTGAAAGGTAGCAATTCTCATGAGATAAAATTTCAAGGAGCTTGAATTTTGCTGAGTATTTTATTGCTAAAGTACAAGTGAATAATATCAGAATTTGAATGGAAGGAACAGCAGTAGAGTTGGACTCTATGAACTAGCAGGAGATATTTCAAATGGACTTTGGCCTGCAGGTCTCTTTTGTCTCTCTATAGCACTTGTGTAGCTCCTACTTCTGCATTTCTTGATCTACAGATCTGGCCATCTAGTGTTAGCAAAATTCTCTTTCTTAATGTTTACAAAGTATATAGGGCTAAATAATTCAACTTCCAACATTTTTTCCCTCACATTTTGAACTTAGGAAGTATGGATCTAAGCACTATTCTTATTGCTAAAATGGCAGAATACTTTGCATCCTTCTGGGGATTTTTCTAGGTAAGGTGCTTTCTGTCACAAAATACCAACTTTACTTAAGTCAAGACCCTGGCTGACACCTGGAAGAAAATAATCCCCAAACACAACAGAGAGATTCGCTTGTCTCCTAATATTTCTCTTACTGAGTAACATAACTGAGTAAAAAACATAATTTTTTTTAAAATTAATTATTTATACAAGCACTGGGTACAGTCAGAAGCATGGGAGGGTGAGAGAATTCACCAAATCCAGAGCAGGAACAGAATAGGAAGACCGATGAAATACACTGCTGAGGGGAGCAGCGGGGGGCATGGCAGGAGAGGTCTGCGTGCCATGTGGGACCCTCGCAGGTGGCCGGGGATCGAACCGGCTCTGCAGAGGCTTCAGGCAGCTTCGCAGCCCAGTGCTCAACTGCTGCGCCACCAAGGGAGGCCCCCCCCTTTTTTTTTTAAGAGAGAACGTCAGATGGTAGATATGTTGCATATCCTACTTGAGCTTGCTTTTATCTTTATGCATACAAGAACTGGGATATAGGTCAGAGTTGCAGGGAGTGAGAGGATTCACTAGAGAAAGTGGGGAGCACAACAGGTGGACCCACTAAAATACACTAAGGGGAGCAGTGGGCAAGACAGGAGAGATCCGCTGTGCCATGTGGGTTAGCTCCCTGACTGGGGATTGAACCCAGACCATAGTGGCTGGGGATTGTTTGATATTGCTGAGATTTAACCCCTGAGCCACCCTGAATTTGATGAAGCTTAAAAGATTTGGGTACCATGAAAAGATGGTGTGATTCCTTTTACCTGGGTTTTGACAGACCAGTGAAGCTGCAAGAGCCAGAAAGTGCTCAGCATCCCAACCTTAATCTGAGACCCCAGAAAGATATAACTGTTAAAGTAACAGCGTCCCAGGAAAGTAATATTATAACAGACCCAGATATGGAACATAGTTACCCAGTGTGACTGGAGAAGGCGATGCCATGATCTGGAAAGAGGGATGGCTTATCAATCAGAAGATGTGAGATCGAGGCCTACTAACATTGCATACTAACTACCTGTGAGACCATGGGTTAGTCTCCTTTTCTCAGTTTATTTATGACTCTTTCCTTACACACCTTACAGGGTTATCATGAGGTTCAGATGAGAAAATGCCTGTAAAAGTGCCAAGAAAATGAAAAATGCCACAATAGGTATGGTGCGCTAACATTTGAGTGGTTCCTATATAACATGTATTATTAACAACTTTATACCTTTTAACTCATTTTATCTATGAGTTTGGTGCCAGTATTTCTTCAAGTTACTGATGACAAATGGTCTCTTACTTGCTCAGCCAGTAATGGCAGAGTTGTTATTTGAACTATTAACTGAAACATCTTTCCTGCTCCTACAGATGCAATTCAGAGGGGTAAGCTAACCTTTGGTTCCCATTGGATTGTAATTATATATATGAAATCCATATATGTTATATAGTGTGTATATCACTAATGTTATAGTGTGTATATCTGATGGCATATAGCCGATATATCATGGTATAGATTAGCTTATTTTGGATGTTAGATATATGATAAATGCTATAGATTATATAGACTTACATAGCTTATTATCAGCTATTACTTATATGTATATACATTCTGTATCTGCTATGTGATATATAGCTATGTAATGTTACAATCTGACATGGTAAGTATGTGCTTATAGCCTATGTACACATTACATTCCACAGCTAATATGTGATATACTAATTCTTAATTTATGTGATAAATGCTATATTACATGTCACAGCCTGCATATAGCATGCCAACTATGTGATATGTCACTTATTGCACATGCGACATCACCTATGGGATAAATGCCATATTGTCTGGCAAACATGTAATATACTGTTATCACATGGGGAAGTCACATTAAATGTGATGTTGCTCAGTGCAAAAATGCATGAGATAAATATTTCATGAGAATTGTGTGATATGCAGCTTATTGCATGTGTGCTGTCACATCACAAATGCTGTACTGTGCTGCAAATTGTAATGTTTATTGCATATGTCATAAGTCACTTATCACGTATCTGATAACTGCCACAGGGCATGGGAAATGTGTGATATGCACATTGCACATGCCCTAAATCACATATCACATGTGATGTCACTGCACAGCAAAACAGCAATATTATTTATTGCATATGCTGTAAGTTGCTTATTGCATATAAGGGCACCAATGTATGAGAGCATGTGATTTGCATATCACATATGTGATAAGCACCCCCCCCACCCATTACAAAATAGCAACATGTCATTTATTGCATAAACTGTGAGTCAACACATATGCAATAAAGCAGATATTGCATGGCCCTCACACACCATGGCACCTATGCCACAGGCAACATGTAACTTATCACACATACAATAAATGCCTTATTGCATATGTAATAAAAAAGAGACATGACAGCATGCAATATGGTGTCTTACATATGCAATATCTAATATATTGCACATGAAATAAGTGCCTTAGCACATGAGTGCTATGCAATATGCATGGTATTACATATGCAATAAGTTTCATATCACAGATGCAATAAATGACATCATTATTGTTGCCATGTGCTAAGTCATTAATCATATGTGCGATAAATTACATATTGTATGTGAGGTAAATGCCTTATCACATGTCAAAAAAAAAAAGCAATGTCACTTATTACATGTGTGCTGTGTGATTTATTGCATAGGTAATAAGTGCCACATTGCTGACTTTCCATATGCTAAGACAGTTATTGCATGTGTGATAAATTACATATTGCATGTGTAATAAGAACATATTTTTTTTTGCCATGTGTAAAGCGCTTAGTACTCATGTAATATGTGACTTATTGCACGTGTGATAAATGTCTTAGCACATGAAAAGTAGTGCTATGTTGCTTATTACCTATGTGATGTAAGACTTATTGTATATGCAATAAGTGACATATTACCATTTTTTGCCATGCACTAAGGCATTTATCTCATGTGTGATAAGTTGCATATTGCATGGGTGATAAATGCCTTTATGCATGGCAAAAATAGCAATATGTTGCTTATTATATATGTGCTATGAGTCTTATTGCATATGTAATAAGTGACATATTGCTATTTTGGCATTTCTTGCCCAAGCAATATGTAATTTATCACACGTGATAAATGCCTT